GTGAGCATCCCCGCGGTGGGGTCCTGGGCAGTGGTTTTAGGCTAGAGAGAGCTGGGGGGTGTCCCCTCCTGTGAGCCCATCCCCGGGGTGCTCCTCCAGCCCTACCTTGAAGCCCTGCACACCCTGGTAGGCACAGCAGGGGTTTGGGGAGGATCAAGCATTTGGGGTGCCCCAATGCCCAACACTTCTGATCCCTGCTGTTCCCTGGTTCTTCCTCCACCCCAAACCCCATCTTTGTTTGAGCCCCCCACCTCAATTGCCCTTTCACTGTAAAACCCGAGGCTTTTAGTGACTTTTAGCAAATCCCACCTGCCTGGCCACCAAACAATTCCTCCCTGGGGTGTTTGACCCATGCCTGGCAAGCTCCGTCCACAATGACCCTGTCCCTTTGCTCTCCCCCCTCAGGGTGCAAGGAGGGACAGGGGTGCCTGGCATAGGGAGGAACCCCCAGCACCCTGCCCCGGGGCTGTTTTGGGAGAGGAGAGGGTGTCCGGAGCCAACACAGCAAGCAATAATCATCTCCTTTCCTCCCGCTCACTCCTGGAGACAGAGCTGATCAGGGTTCGAATCCGACACTGTTTAATTTAAAGGCTTCTCAATAGACTCTGTTTTTTTTTTCCAAAATAAGAGTTTTCCAATCACACTGTTTATTTTTTTTTTTTTAAAATGTATTTTGTGGAAATTCTTCCTGTGGATGTTTTGTTTCTGTGTGTTGCGATCGGGTGTTGTTGTACTGTCCAGCTCAAGAGAAATTCTGTTTACTGGAATAAACCTTCCTGACTTCACCTGATGGTTTAAGGCTAAATCCTTCCAAAGCCTGAGGGTGTGCGGTGCTGTGGGAAGAGGCAGGTAATGCTCCCAGGGGCAGGGCGACATGGGGGCAGGTTTGGGTGCCCCTTCAGCACCCAGTGGAGCCAGGCTGGGGGGGGTTGGGGAAGGACCAGCTGGTCCCAGCGCAGGTTAATGCTTCGGGGTGATTAAAGGGCTCTAATCCCCGGGGAGTGCAAGGGGGGTGATTCGAGGCTCTAATCTGTGCCTGCTGGTCTGTCTGGAGGGCTGCTAGGGGCAGCCCAAACCTGCCCCCAGCCCCTCTGGGGAGGGTTGGGGTGAGCCTGAACCTCAAGGTTGCATCCTGGGCTGTGGGGATTGATGGGGAGAGGGTCGCTTGTCCCTCTAAATTGACGGATCTTAGCCCTGCCTGCAGAGTGGCGCAGGGGAAGGCAAGGCAGAGGTGTTGGTGATGGTGCTGTGGCTGGAGGCCCACCATGGTGAGGTGTGGATGTCCCCACAGCTCCGCCACCCTGCCTGCTTCCCAGGGCTATTTTTAAGCCCATGCTGGGCAGCTTATACATGGCCAAGCTAAGCCCTGCTGCTGCAGCGGGCAAGTGTGGGGGCACGCTGTGCCTGGGTGGCTCAGCAGGGCTGGGCTGGGGGCACCATGGCTGCACTGAGGAGGGTGGGATGGTGGCTTCCCAGGGACAAGGCAGGGCTGTGCTCTCAGCTGTGGCCGTGGACCCGCAGCCCTGGCCTCTGCCTGGCACCTTCATGTCCTCCCCTTCTGCACGCTCTTGTTTCATGCTCCAAGCCTCCAGACAAGCCCCTCTGCCTGGGCAGATGAGTCGTCAGAGGGGTCTGCAGCTCAAATGACACGCAAGTGACAAAGTGTCACCAGACCTGCAGGGGATGTGCAGGCTGTCACTCCCCCCTGGAAGCTGGGGGAGCCCATTTCAACCTGCCTCGTCCTCCAAAGTCACACCCTCTGTGGTGGTGCTGCTGAGCGGAGGTGAGCCCGACCCCTCGTTTCCCACCATCACCCCCTTGGGGCCAGCAAGGTGTCCCTGCCTGGGACGGGGGGTGATGCCATGGGCTGGGGCTGCCCTTGTGGGGCAGGAGTGGGGGCACCGAGGGTCCTGGGAGCATCTTTTTCTTGTTTGCCTGGTCAGAGCAGCCTGGGGACTCGTTCCCTGTGGGAACCTCAGTTGAGCCCCACCCGGACCCCCCCCAGCCTGGGGGAGGGCTGTGGCTCCAGGACAGACCCAACTTTGTTTCGGGTTGCCAGGGCGAAGGCTTTTCCCAGTCGCCCATGGAGGCGGGGGAGCGTGCTGGCGTTGCCGGGGGACCGGGGATGCCGAGCGGGGCACTTGCTGGCTCCGGAGCAACCGGCCAGCCGGGCATGGGGAGGCACAGCAGGGCCGAGGACAGCAGCATGGTTCCACCGTGCCCCCTTCAGCCCTGGTAGCAGAAGTTTAAATTATTTTTCCCACCTTGATCACTTTTTAGGGGAGCAAATTCCACCCCAGCTACACCTCTCCTGCCACTCAGACCTTGCTCCTCCAGCAGAGGGATGAAACGCTCCATGGAAGGAGCACAGAGCCAGCAGTTTACTCGGCAGCTCCTGCAAATTTCGTTCTGGGGGACAGAATCCGTTCCTGCCTGCGGCAGGTGACGATGAGCACGAGGATTAGCAGCCCTCGTCATGGTAATCCCAGCTGGAAGTAGAGCCGCTCCTCACTTTATTACCGCACAAAGCTTTCACTACAACTAAATCCACGCTAAATACTTGTTTTTTAAAATACCATGATACACTGTTCCCACGCTTCGTTTTAGTATCAGTCACAGGAATGATGGTGAACTAGAATTGGAAAACTAAAACCCCCAGGCCCTAAAAATACAGGCACAGCAACACTAAAAATTCCACCGTCTACCAATCTCTGACAAAGACATCCCTGGGCAAATCTGAAAGCTATTACCTGATGCTGTGTGACTGGAAGAGATAATTTCTCGTTCAGAATTAACTGCTATTACAGTGGGAAAACAGGCAGGAGCATCAGTTATCCTCCTTACCTTCTGTCCTCTCCTCTTAGCAAGCTTCCCTGCTGTGGAGAAGGTGCTGCGTGGGGACGGAAAGGTCAGGCTAAATAACTGCACTAAAAAATCTGTCCAGTGGGAGTCAGGCAAGTTCCTCTCCTTCAGCAATGGATCTCCTGCCCCAAACACATCTGCCCCCAGTAAGGGTTATTTTTTTTCCTCCCATTTATCTTACTGGAGAGCAGGGAACGGAGCCTCCACGCTCAGCAGGGCAAGTCCTGAGCTCCCTGAAGCAGGGAATTGCTATTCTGTCACCTTTCAGTTGTGCTCTCCTCCTCCTCCTCGCTTCCATAAAAGCAGCCTGGCAAAAAGAAGTGCAGCTTCCTGCAGCTCCCAGTCCCCCTGCTCCGCAGCCATCGTGGCAAAGCTCTGCTCTCGTCTCAGTTGGCTGATATAAATTCATTTTCATCATCTTAACTTCTCCTTTGGTTGTGCTCACCCATATCTGAGCCTCTCACATCCAGGATCCAGCAGTGCCCCCCTGCAACCCACCACACTCCAGAAACAAGAGTCTCTGCTGTCCTTCACAAGTTCTAACCACCCTCTCACCAGCCACAGTGGGCAGCCAAGCCCCACCGCTCCCAGATAGCTCTGGAGAAACCTCAGGTTTTTGTCAGGTTTTTTATTCAAAAGAGACTGAGCTACAAGTGCACCAAGACTGTCTCTGTCGAACTGATGAATCCTGCTCTAAAGGCAGTGGAAGAAGGAACAGTAGGTGCTGCTTGTCCAGAAACTGGTCACACCAGCAACCAATTAACTACTGGTCATTTTGGGCTCTGCTGGAACAGCGTGTTAAGGTTACAGTCATTCCTCATCAAGCCTGTGAATTAGTGGCTGCTCTCCAGGTCCAAATTTCAGGCAGTGATCCTGGCTGGTGCAACAAGGTGCAAAGTTGACAAGATGTCAAAGTAACTGAAGGAGACATCGAAACAGTCAAGTGCAGCGTTGGCTCACTGGTGTCTTCCACACCCAGACCTCACAACAGCGTCCAACTCCTCCCTGGAAACCAGGCCTGTGTCTGGAGGTGTCTGTCAGGTCTCCAGCACCCCAGCTGGAAGCTTCAGTTCCACATAGCTCTTCTCCTCCACATGGTTTGTCTGTTCTAGGAGCCATCGTCTCTCCTGGTCGCTGACATCCAGCCTCAGCGTCACCTCTTGGAAAACGCTGTTCACAGCAACCTGTGTCATACAGAGGAAAAGCAGGTCAATCTCAGTCACAGGGCAAACGCTGCTCACGTTCCCTGAGTAGAAGACGGACTGTTACCACACCTCCTTAAAATGAAGCTTTTTGAACATGCAGATACTGGCTTCATTTTCCTGACCAATCTTTGCCTCAAATTTGGTGATCCCCAGCTTTGTCACTCCTGCAAAAGAAATCAGAAAGAGAAGCGTTTCTATTATCTGCTCGACTGCTACATCCGTGAAAGCACAGGACTCCAATTTCTGGGGCAGATGCATCCCTTACTACCCTGTCTGTATCACTGAGAATATGTGCTTCTAGATCACATCCCAACTGTACTCCCATTCCCGTGCATTGAGCCACCCTTACCATAGGACATCATCATCAGAGTTGCCTCCTTGCCAAACCCTCTGCCTCGGTAGTTGGGTTCTGAAAAAGACAGCCACAGAAGAGAGCATTCAGTTACATGAGACAAATCAGCCATGCCAGACACTTTTCAGAAGAGACTGTGACCCAGACCAGCAAAGGATGCTGATCAGGACTGAACAGCCACGGTAAACCAATGGGAATAAAAAACTGCCGTACATCTGTCTGCAGCTGGCTTTAGACATGGTGACAAAGGTCCAAGCTATGAAGGAGAACTTGACCTGCAATCATGATTTCGATCTCGCCCAAAGTTGGATCCTCAGCATCGGTGAGGAAAAGATTCACGTCCCCCACCATGCAGTCCTCGTCCGCACACGCCTGCCCGGACCACCGCTCCGTGTCCAGCACAATGAAGGTGCACTCTGGGGAAAACAAAAACGTAGCAGAAT